TAGTTGTATGCTCATTGCAACAGACCTTTCATCATTGTCTTCATTAAACCTGGGCCTTGTCTGATAGGAAGGAGTGGAGAGAGCCATTCTTTCCTAGGCCCCAGTGATGGCTTTATCAAAGCCTCTCATTTATATTAATCAGCATGCAGAGTAGGGCTCATCTGGGTTGTCTGTGCCCAGGTGGTGGGTGAGTAGATTTACCTCTTGCTTGGCCACTGCTGATGCTCCCTGTGTTCTTCTCTGCTGCGGCTGCCAGCCTGCAAGCTCGGACTGAGTGCTGGGAACGCCAGGAACGCCATCCTCCCGGAACGAGGTGATTTGCTTTAACCCTCTTTGTAAATGATGAAGTGCTTTATAAATGTTAGACATTATTATCTGCCTCTGTGGGAGAGCACTGCAGCCAGTTCCTCTCTGCCTTCCCTTGGTAATGCAAATTTTGGCCATCTTTGCTTGCATCTCTCAAATAACCCTGTGCATCATTGTGTAAAGAGGAACTAAAGACTACCGCTAACTGCTCTGGGTCCCCTTCACAGCCTATTCATTGTTTTCTCTCTATGAAAACACTGTAAGATACTTTCACGGATAACATCACTGATTTTTGTGGCTTAGAAAGGGATCTTTGCAATATGACTTCAAATGCCAAAGTTCCTGGTAAAGGACATATTTATGCTAAATCCATGTCTTTATTCCTCCCAAAATGTGTAAGAGAAAGGTGTTTTCCCTTTACTCCTACTTCATGCATTGCTATTTGTTCCTAAGGCAGAGGAAGGAGTGCAGTAAATTAGTGTGTAATTGATGCTATCAGCAGTGCAAAAGCGAGCACGCATGCACACACACACACACACACACAGTTTCCTTTGCTAGCAGGTGTTGAGTAGTAAAGGCTAAGGGGCCCCATGTTCATTTGCTTCCTAAATAGAATGATGGATCACACACTGTTATTCTGCACTGTAGTAAAGACATCAATAAAATAACTTTTTAAGGGAAGAATGCTTAAATCAGATTATAAATCGGAGCAGCCCTCACAGTTTTCCAACACTGAGCACACTAAGTTCTGAAGCACCCATCTTCAGGTAAACCATGTTACTACATCAGCTCAGTTCACACAGACTGGAGTTTTCACTGAACCGCATGAGTTTATAGCTACCGTTCTTTCTAAAGATTGTGTTGCATTTTACTTTTAATTTAGGATAGGCACTCCTTTGCCCAAACCAAAGTGGTCTGGTGTGCTAGTTACATGTCTGCAATCTGTTGAATCTATTCTATCAGGTGTTGACTGACAATATTCCAGAATTGCATGTATAGAAAAGGCCACAATTTGTCTACCCAGAATGCTCCCCACCACTTCCTGATCCTACTTTTTTTTTTTTTTTTTTTTTTTTTTTTGACAGGCAGACTTAGATAGTGAGAGAAAGAGAGAAAGGTCTTCCTTTTCCATTGGTTCACCTCCCAAATGGCCGCTACGGCCAGCGCACTGTGCCGATCCGAAGCCAGGAGCCAGGTGCTCCCTCCTGGTCTCCCATGCGGGTGCAAGGCCCAACCATTTGGGCCATCCTCCACTGCCTTCCCCGGGCCACAGCAGAGAGCTAGACTGGAAGAGGAGCAACCGGGACAGAATCTGGCGCCCCAACCAGGACTAGAACCCAGAGTGCTGGCACCGCACGTGGAGGATTAGCCAACTGAGGCGCGGTGCTGGCCCTTGATCCTGCTTGTCAGGGACTACTGACTGATGCATTTACTGATCCGTAAGTCAGGATGTGGACATAGCTTAGCTTGAAGCCCCTCTGAGACAAAAAACAGGGTCTGCTTCCCTCTGCACCCCCCTTCTCCTGCCACCCAGGAAATAGATTTATTATTCTATCTGATTATAAAAACAATACAATAGGGGCTGGCGCTGTGACATAGCAGGTAAAGCTACTGCCTGCAGTGCCAGCTTCCCATATGGGCACTGGTTCGAGTCCCGGCCGCTCCATTTCCAATCCAGCTCTCTGCTACGGCCTGGGAAAGCAGTAGAAGATGGCCCCAAAGCCTTGGGACCCTGCATCCACATGAGAGACCCAGAAGAGGCTCCTGGCTCCTGGCTTCAGAACAGCGCAGCTCAGGCCGTTCTGGCCAACTGGGGAGTGAAGCAGCAGATGGAAGACCTCTCTCTCTCTCTCTTTCTCTCTCTCTCTCTCTCTCTCTCTCCTTCTGTGTGTAACTCTCACTTTCAAATAAATGAATAAATCTTTTAAAAAAAAGCAATACAGTAAAAAGGGAGAGAAAATGTAGTACAGTGTATATTTAAGCAGTTACAAATTTAGCAGTTCAAAATGTTAGAAAATAAATTTCAGGGTTGGTGTTGTGGCACAGTGGATTAAACAGCCACTTGCATTGTGGGTGTCCTTGTCAGATTGCCTGATTTGAGTCCCAGCTATTACAGTTCCAATCCAGCTTCCTGCTGGTGTGTCCTGGGAGGCAGCAGATGATGGTTCAACTGCCTGGACTCTTTTGCCCATGTGGGAGACCCAGGTTGATTTTCTGGCTCTTATCTGTGGCCTTTCAAAGCCTTTTCTCTCTGGGTTTCAAATCGATAAAAGAAAATAAATAACCATTTTGTAAAAAGAAATTAATTGCAAAGGTAACATCTCTCCTTGATAGAATTTTTTAAAGATTTATTTATTTATTTGAAAGACAGAGTTACAGAGAGAGGGGGAGAGACAAAGAGATCTTCCATCTGCTGGTTCACTCCCCAAATGGCCAAAACCAGGATCCTGGAACTTCATCTGGAACTCCCATGTGGGTGCAGGGGCTTCAAGCACTTGGGCCATCTTCTTCTGCTTTCCCAGACACACTGTCAGAGAGCTGGATCGGAAGTGGAGCAACTGGGCCTTGAACTGGCGCTCATATGGGATGCTGGTGTTGCACGTGGCAGTTTAACCTGCTATGCCACAACACCAGCTGCTCCTTGCTATAATTTTTAAAATAAAAGCAACAAAAAGGGATTTATATATGCACTGGGCAGATCACCCTGGGCTGGACGTGTTCAAGGCCCCTGTGCTATTCCAGCTTTTCATAATCTCTTCCCTCCCTTTACTTGTTAACTTCAAAAGTCCAGTACTTTTTCTTTAATGATTGACTTTGACTGTTGAGGTGTATTCTGTTTAAGTGTGGCCATTTACAAGTACAGATCATTTATAAATTCATAATCTATATTTATTTATTATAATTTATATTTGCTAATTACATTAAGAATAAGAGAACAACTTGTTCTTGTTGCTTCTACCTGGTGTGGAATTTCAGGAAAATAAAGGAACTCACTGGTTATTCAGAGACAGATCCACTGTTAAAAGTTCATACCATCGTTTTGACATTTAGTGTCAGACTTTCTCTTTGTAAATCCTTCTTCACGTTACAGCTGCTGGTCCCAGAGCTCGAACTGTTTCAAAACCATAACATTTCTTAGTGAGTGATTGATCTGTATTATGTGTCCAGCCATCAGGGAGATCTTGGGATGTTGCTTGTATAAACTGTAATCCAATCTGACGCAGTGCATTTAGTTACAGTCTTTCATAGACCTATTGGCGATACTCAATCCTCCTGGATTTGGGAATAGAGCTTATCTGATACCTTCGGGGGAAAAAAAATCCATTCATTTTCCTCTTTTCCCCACTTAAATAACTCAACACATCTGGTAACACTGTAGGATCATTGTCCTTCCAGTTCCTCTGCAGCTCGTATTGCTACAATATTTTTTAAGTATTTGGTTACCTAAAGGACAATGTGATTTTAAAAAAGGGGTGGGGGCTGTATAGGTCTTAGAAATTAACCCATCTACAGTGCTAGAAAAGAAATATGCCTTTAATCAGCAAGATTTCCATATCAGCAGCCCTGTGTATGTTATACGGCACGAATGTAAACATAAAATTGGAGATGAATGCTCATGTGTTAAAATTTTAAAACAAATCTTTCTACAAATTAATGTAATTCGCCTCTAAGAAAATGTTTATTAAATACAGGGTACCTGAGATTGAAGTATCTTGTTGTTTGGGTCTGTATCCTTTGGCTTAATGTCTTCAGTTACAAGAATGATAAAAGCTGAAACCAAATCCTTTAATTCAATCAGAACAGAGCTGAGTTTTAGAAGCAGAGTGGAAATCAGATACAGGGCTGCATAATATAGGAAGTTAAATATACAAGATATTAAGACTTCGTAAGAAGCGGATGGAGTTGCCTGGAGGAATTTTTGTTTGAAATGGCTGCATTGAACATTATCATAAATACCACCTTTTTATCCTCTTGAATTAAGATTCTTTATGCAAACAACTCTAAATTGTGCAGTAGTTCCAAAGAGACCATTTACTGTTTTCTGCTTGTTTTACATTCTGGAACAAGTTCAAAGCTTTTGATTTTGCTTGATTTTTTTTAATAGTCTGAGCCTTGAAAATAATACAGGTTTGATGAATAAGATTTCAGCATGTGGTTCTGTAAAAATGTTCAGTGTTTATGGTACATTTGACCCAGGGGCCCTACACCAAATAGATCTGTAGCGCATTTTAAGTACAACAGAATGAACACATTTGAAAGGTTAACCATTCTCTTGCTTTTTTTGCTTTTCTTTCTGTATTAAGTATGAAAATTAGCATTGCAATGGCTCCCAGAATGGGAATACTGAAAAAGTATCCACCTGATAGAAATAAACATGCAGAAGATAAATTAAGATTTCATTATTTATATGAAACTTAAGCTGTGTTCACAATGGTTATTATAGGATTTTCATGTATATTAGTTAAATGCTATTCTTATATGATTTTTTAACTTAAGCTTTGATTTAAAAAAATTGGATCACAGCTTAAATATCCAGGTGGGCAATGCCATTTGCCAGGATCTTTGCATATAAATCTCTTTTTTCTAGCAGACACAAATCCTGCCTTACGACTAAACCTTCTGATGCATTCTCAGATTAAAATGGGAATGAATTTTTAAATTGTTTCTTCTCTTCCCCCGCCCCTGTGTTTTAGGTTGTGGAACTTTTAGCAAGTGCTCTTATGGACTTGGTACAAGGAGTATACCATGAAAATTCAACTTCAACAAAGGTAAAGGAGTTCAGAGTCATTGTAAAATGTTAGGTTAGAAACCCTCACGGCAAAATTAGAATTGAATGAAAATATCATTCTTGTTTTGTGTTTAGATTGTACATTACTTCCTTTTCTTTCTTTCTTTTTTTTTTTTTTAAGATGAGTGTTTTGGCTACAAATTCATGGCCATACGCTTAGTACATAGCAGATTTAGCCAATTAAAACAACCTCTTATCCTCTGGCTGGATTCGCCGTCTGTTCCGTCCACAGCAGCCTGGTAGACACCAGGACTCTCCTGGCTAGCAGGTAGTACTGTCACAGGAAGGCTGGAGGAGCAGCTTGTGCTGAGGCGGCTGGGCCAGAGGAGGGGCCTTCCCTGTCCCAGAAGAGTGGAGCATAATCCCAAGGAGATGGGGGAGGAATGTCTTTTATATCCAAGATCCAGAATGTACTGCATTATTAGATTCTGTCTGATAAAAAGTAGGATGGTTGCACAGTTGGATTATTTTGATTAATTTTATAGGTCTAGGATTAAGATTTTTTGACTCATTTAGCAGGATATCTCAGGAAAGGTTAGGTTTTATTTCCTTTAAATGTGGTTATTTCATTTCAGTAGCATATTAGATGTGAAGTAATTGCTTCATTGACCACCACCATCATTGAATATGGTATCTACTATTATAAGGGATTCCTATCTTAGTGTTCATTATTCTAATTTCTTCAGCTTCTGTAATAGCAAGATTTCACTCACTGAAAATTAGAAAAAATATGCATGTATGCACAGCTTAAGCTGAAACATTTCCACTTGAAAACAGACAGATTTTACTAGATGTGAACTATAGGGCATGAGCAACTTGGATAAGAAATGTAAAATTTTAAAGTGTGACCCAGGGACTCTAAATGATTCAGAGAGTGCTTAGTGAAGTATGAAGAACTGCTCCTTGGACACCTGCTGACTCTTGGTTCAGGGTACCACAGTGCCCAGTAGGCAAATCTAACCTTACCTAACTGGCAGATTGGTATGTGGGGACCTCACAGGATGTATGACTACAGTGAAGCACTTTTCTTTTCTTTCTTTTTTTTTTTTTTTAAGATTTATTTATTTATTTGAAAGACCGAGTTACACAGAAAAAAGGGAGGCAGAGACAGAGAGGTCTTCCATCCAATGGTTCACTCCCCAATTGGCCGCAACGGCCAGAGCTGCGCCAATCCAGAGCCAGGAGCCAGGAGCCAGGAGCCAGGAGCCAGGAGCCTCTTCTGGGGCTCCCACGCAGGTGCAGGGGCCCAAGGACTTGGGCCATCTTCCACTGCTTTCCCAGGCCATAGCAGAGAGCTGGATTGGAAGTGGAGCCGCCTGGTCTCGAACCGGCACCATATGGGATGCCGGGCGCTTCAGGCCAGGGCGTTAACCCACTGCATGTGCCACAGCAATGACCCCAAGTGAAGCACTTTTCAAAAGCAAGCATTGTTCACTATTATGGCTGAGTGTTAATATCAGATTGCAAAATAGGTATTTTCTGACCTACATAGTGCTTCAAAGAGTTGACAGAAACCGAAATTAAAAATATATTTATTTTGGTACAAACAATTTGAAATCCATAAGTAGCATTTTCATAGCATGCATTTCCATGAACTTTTGAAGGCCTTGTATATCCATGGATTTCAAAAATTTTTGCACCAGAGCTGGCACTGTGGCATAGTAGGCTAAGCCTCCACCTGTGGTGCCAGCATCCCATGTGGGTGCCAGTTCGTGACCTAGATGCTCCTCTTCCAATCCAGCTCTCTGCTTCTGGCCTGGGAAAGCAGTGGAAGATGGTCCAAGTACTTGGGCCTGCACCCACATGGGAGACCAGGAAGAAGGTCCTGGTTCAGCTCTGGCCATTGCAGCTATATGGGGAGTGAACCAGCAGATGGAAGACCTTTCTCTCTCTCTCTCTCTCTAACTCTACCTCTCAAATAAATAAAATATATTAAATTTTTTTGCACCAAAATATAGACTTAACCTTTTAATTCCACTTTTCATGAACTTTTGAAGCACCATCATCATCCCACCATACAAAGTTACCTTGCGTATGGTATCATGAAGATGATGGTAGCTAAGCAAATAACACCACAGTGACATACCTGTTTCTTTTCTAACCTTCCCAGAAATCCTGAGAGTAGGTATTCCTGCTGTTCCCAGTTTGCAGATGTAAAAGCTGAGATTTGGAAAAGCTTAGGAAATTTCCACAAGGTCACATAGTCTGTTAGCTGAGATTTGAACTCAGGAGCCCAGGTTCTCAATCTCTCATTCCACTGCCCTATATCTTGGTAGCATCTGTCTGCCACTGTATGATTTTGGTGGCCTGCTCCTGCCTTAAAGACATTGTTTTTTCTTGGGATTTTCCTGTGTTTAATCTAGTTCCTTATAAGGTACCAGTATTTTACAATTAAATACCTGTTAATCTTTAAGTGAAAGTTACTGTTAGTTTTATGATTCTTAATTTATTCTTACCATTTGTCCACTATAATTAGCTTAATCCATTAACAGCTTTGTGAACATTTGGTAAGTATGTCCTATTGTCAGGCAGACATAATAGCAATACTAATAATAAGTGCTTATTATTATAAATAGCACTTTACAGTTTTGTTTTGTACACAATAACCTAGGCTGAAAAGGGTGACACGTGTCGGCATTCCACTTCACAGAGGAAAATCCTGAAATTCAGAGATGATGAATGGCAGGGATGCACAGTGTCTGAAAACTGACAGGGATGTGGTCTGGACCCAGGGCTTTGGATTCCAAGTCCTTTGCTTTTTCTAATAGAATGTGTTTCTTCCTGGGAATAGAAAAGCAGCAGCAACAAAATCTTTGGAGAACTGTTGATCATCTTTGAATGGTTGCTTAGCAAGCCCAAGTTGCTGATGTTGATTAGCTAATCAGTTATACCCTAAAGAGTCCGTAGCAATGCCTCATTCATCTGGCCTTTTTCCCTACTACCCCCCTAAACCCAGTCCTCTAAAGTGCTCCAGCTCTTTTTTAAGCAGTTGAATTTCTAAATACTGTAGCCAAACCATGGAAAGAGCTGTCCGTATTAAATGATGGAAACAAAAATGCATCATTGAACCAGAGCAGTGGGAGTGCTTCTTGCTGCCTCTGTTTGTGCCTCCACTCCAGTTTAGGTTAACCACATTTCCCTTCCTAACCAGAAAAAATTCTGGCTCCCCCCCTGAGTGTGCTTGCCATTGCAGTGCCTTTTCAGAATTTGGTTTTTCTAAGTTGGCCCAGGGATCACTTGCGAGGCAGAGAGAGCACTGCCCCCACATCGAGTGCCTTCAGGGTTTGCATGTTCTGGCATGATTGGGAAGAAGCCACAAGTGGAGGTCACATGGGAAGTCAGGCCCCCTCTGTCATCCCCGTTGCACAACCTCCATAGCCTTGGGCCAATTCAGCACACAAAAGAAATGCTTTGTGATTTCAAGTAAGCTGCAAACCATTTCATCCCTCTAGGGATACGGGGGATACAATAGTGGTCTGTTTTCTATATGGCAGCTTAATGCAGTGATGGAGAATCTGGGCAGCAGCAAAGTAGCCTTCTGTGGAGTGCTATCTGTGTGACTAGAGTAGATGGGTTAAAGCAAACAGGGGAGTTGGAATTGGATACGTTAAAAATCACCTTCTCCCAAAGACGTTTGTGGAGTCATTACCTAATTCTCTGTAGAGCTATGTGACTTATGTTACTAATATATAGCAGATTGAAGGTAAATTGTGATCATTGTAGACCTATGAAGTAATTTAAGAAATTCATCCTTTTTTCACGCCATTGTAAAATATTTTTTTTATTTTTGGATTTGCTAGTTTGTGAACCATTTCTTCCATAGAACAATTGGTCATTGTGCTTTCTTTAGTAATTATAAGAAAATATTTTCCTTCCCTCTACCTGCTTTTTCATGTTAGCTAATTTTAAAAACTATGTGAAGTTTTAAAAATTGCATTTTAATTGACCATTTGTCATTTACGAGTTCTCCACTGAAGCTCCTCCTTAAATTATGTTTATGTTACTCATTGTTCTTGCTAAATATTCTGTATTTTTACAAAATTGACCTTGTATCCATAGAACTATATGCCTAAAACCCTTTAGCATAATCATCTTATTATTATAACTTATTTTCCAGTTATAGAAGTCAGTATATGTTCATGGAATAAAAATTGAAAACAGAAGAAAATCAAGAGGAAAATCTAAAATGTTACATAGCCATCCCCCAGAAATGAATCATGATTACATTTCATCATTTTCTTTCCAGATTTTAATTTATTGTGTAGTTCTTATTTGTAAGTTATTGCTTTATATAAAATTTTGGATCTTGATGTACTTATTTATCATTAAAATTCTTCAAAATACCATTTTAATGGTTATTTACTATTTTTTAATATTTTTGTACTATAGTGTACTGAACCATCCACAATTTTTTAAAGATTTATTTAGTTATTTGGAAAGGCAGAGTAACAGGGAGGGGGAGAGAGAGAGAGAGAGAGAGAGAGAGATCTTCTGTCTGCTGTTTCACTCCCCGTTAGCTGCAAAGGACAGGGCTGGGCCAGGCTGAAGCCAGGAGCCAGGAGCCAGGAACTCCATCCAGGTCACCCACATGGGTGGCTGGGGCCCAAAAACTTGGGCCATCACCCATTGCTTTCCCAGATGCATTAGCAGGAAGCTGGATCAGAAGGGAGAAACTGAGACTTAAACCATCACTCCAGTAAGGAACCTGCTTCTTCATGATGTCGGTTCCCACTCTACAATTTGTAAACGTTTTGTTCTACTTTTCACTCGTTTAAATCATGGTGGAGCCAGCATTGTGGCATAACAGGTTAAACCACCACCTGCCATGCAGGCATCCCATATGAGCGTCGGTTCAAGTCCCAGCTGCTCTGCTTCCAGTCCAGCTCCCTGCTAATGTGCCTGGGAAGGTAGCCCTCAAAGATGGCTCAAGTGTGTGGGCCTCAGCACCCAGTTGGAGCTCCTGGCTTCTGGCTCTGGTCT